TCTCTTCTGCCGCTGGTGTTTCTTGTCTTTTTTGGTCGATATTATCCTACGACGATATTTCAATACGGTCAAGCCTTTGCTGGTCGAATTTTAGACAACTTTGCTTATCCCCTACATTCTGATTTTATTTCTGCGAAGTCTTCCCGCCCGATGCGCCGCAGTTTTCGACTTATCTCTTGTCGCACAGCGACATCTTGAGATTCTGTATTGCCATTCCCGGCGCACTATCTTAAGTACGAAGCGATAGAAATACAGAAGCTAGGACTTGAACTATCACCATAATAATCATTCTTTTTGTGTTAATCTTTTTGGCTCTGCAATAATCCATCAACCTAATTACTACCCATAGTGAATGGAGCAATTTTTGCCGAAAATTTGGAAATAATTATTTCAAAATAAAGCGAATTCCTCTCTCCCTCGCAAACAAGTGAACGACGTCAAAAGACAAGATGCATTCATCAGGACTTACTTAAAGGTCTTGGATCCTGTGAAGGAACGCATGAGCGTTGTTGATGTTGTATTCCGCCTTAGATGTCCGTACAACCGCTTAGCGAAATTACAATTTAGTGGTCCGATAAGCAACATTATAATTCGAATCGGAGCATCCTCTTCGTGCACTTTTGGAAGACCGTACACTTGTATGATGCGGGAGTTAATGAGGATCATCAAATTGGAGTCATCTGGAAAGAGAACCTTTAGAAAAGAGAGTTCATTAATCGTTTTCCTGAAGGCTGCGGCCTGCTTTGTCGTCGGGTTTTCAGTGAGTGTGATGTGGGCCGCTCTCGTATTTTGCTTCTATCCCACCAGGCCTGTCCATCAACACCCTCGGCGGCCTTCTTCGAGAAACATCTGATGAGACAGACCAAAGACTCAAGCGAACGCACATCATCGAGTTCCTAGAACAGTGTTTTAAGGCTTTCTTCACATTCAGTGGCCAAGCGGTCGAGCAAAAGAAGGGGACACCGATGGGCTCGCCTCTGTCTGGACTACCTGTTACAGCGTTTTTTTAGAGACTTGATTGGCCGGTATTTTGGCTCCTTCTCGCCAAAGTTCTGGCTCATCTATGCTGAGGACACATTCGTCATAATCAAAATGACTGACGTAAGAGTCTTCAGGGCAGTGTAGAATTCAATCTTTCCTGGCAAACAGTTTATCATGGTCAACAGTCGATTGTTCCTCCTCGACATACAAGTTACAGAACTGGCACGATGATATATCGTAAGGCAAGTAACAGAAAGCGCATCCTACAAATCGAAAGTAATCACCCCACCGGTCACAAACGCAGTTCCAACGCAGTCAATTACACTGTTGTGACCACGATGGGAGGAAGGACGAGGTAAAGTACTTACGTAGCCTCTCTGAAGCCAACAGTTTTCCGAAGTCCTTCATCACTATGGGTAGTCGAGCCGAATCACTTATGAGAAAAAGGTTTCAGAGGCGCCAGCAAGAATCCTAAGACCTCTAAAGAGAGGTTTGAATCATACGCCGACATCGACAAGCAGACATCGGAAGCCCAAATACCAACTACCAATGACAGAGCAAGTAGCGGTGTCCCACAGCATACCATGTCAAGACTGTAGTGCAATGTACGTTAGTAGAGTGGGCAAATACCTCGGCACAAGATTGCACGAATATCAGCTTGCAATCAACCGCAAAGGGAAGCTGTTGCTGGTCCATGGCCAAACCGAACAGCAGAATCACAGTTTCATCTCTGAGAAGACGAGGGTGGTCGTCCGAGCCAATGATAAGGTGACCAGACTGATGCGGGGAAGTTGGTTTTGGACTGCATACTCAACCGAGCCATGGACCTGAATCGCGCTCTCCAGACGCTTCGCACAAGGCTCAGGTCAATCCGGACGGTTTCAATGCGGCGAGTTAAAAAGTCACCCGGCGCAGACAGCCGACACCCACGACGGGGGAAGGAGAAGACGTCGACTGGAAGTCATGTGAACGGCGTGGCACTGTCTCCTAGACGCGCCCGCGAGATCCAAAACAGCGCGCAAGAGTAGCAACGTTTGATCAGCCCATCGTCTGACGAGGGAGAGGCTGATGATCACGCTGATTTAGCGGAAGATGGGCACCCTAAGAAGTATGATTTGAAAGAGTTAAATTCTTTGGGAAAGTCAACAAATTTTACTTTTTTTCATTTTCGACGTTGGCTCCCCAGGACATAGTCAAGCCTCCAGAAAATGTCCAAAACAGTTGAAATTCAAAACTTGCCTGAATAATCGCCACCGATTTGTTATCCCTGCCATTAAGCCATTGCTGTAGGCTGACATGCGTTTGAGTTGGCTGTCACATTTTCAACCTTTCTTTGCGATAGTAGTATACGGCGTCTAGTTCGATGTATCGATTAATGCATGAGCCCTCAGAATGTGTGGCTTCAAAGCATCCTCGCAATTTCCCATATGGGGAGACGCCGAAAACGCGACTTTTGTCACAAGCAAATTTGTGTCCAAATTTAGCTTACGCATGGCGGCTTTGGACAAACGGTCTCGCCCCTTTACTGCCATATGATTTTACTATATCACAAGACCTCCATGATATGCCACGCCGCAGAAGCTCAAATTGCTTTCTAAGATTCCTGTAATGGGATGCTGATTTTCATATCCTCCCGTTTCCTTCACCTGAAAGCCAACAATCCGCCCTCATCAACAATGTGAAAGTGTGAAAAAGACACTAAAAAGTCTTCACATGGCAAAACATTTGGGGTTGCTCTATAGGGACCTCCGAAATTTTTTCATGCTGAATTCTGCCTATAACCATTCTCATGCTTAATTCTTACCAAACATTTCGCTGAAACAACTATTCTAGCGAGCTTCTCCACGACATTATTAAAACGCATCCCACAAAAAAGGTTTCGTTGGCGTGCTGACGCAATAGGACCACCTGGACTGAAAGGGGTGTGCTGATTTCCTCCCGCAAAAAATGCATTTTCGGCGTGATCCCGTGACGAAGCACTTAATCAATTAACAGCACGTGCAAAAAAAACCTCACACAATGATAAATAATCCACTTACGGCATAAATAGCATATGTTAGATGCATTTAAGCCATATCTCCACTAGACTTCGCGCTGTAACATGGCGGTGACACTTCACTGGTCCGATTACTTCGTCTTTGCTCTTTCTCTACTTGCCTACGCCCTAGTCGGTCTCTACTTCCGATGGTCCACACAAATCAATAATCTCTTTAATCGATGTCTGAGACGACCAATCAAAGAAGTGAAGCCGCAGACTGCACAGGAGATTTTTCTGGCCAATCGCAAGCTGGGTGTCCTGCCAGTCATGGCCAGCACAATTGCCAGTTTCCTTTCAGCAGCAACCATTTTGGGCAACCATCTGGAAGTCTATCTTTACGGCCTCCAATTGATATATAACCTTCCTGTCCAATTGGCATTACATCCCATGGTTTCAGAAATCTACATGCCTGTCCTTTACAAACTGCAATTATCCAGCATTTACCAGGTTAGTTGGAGTTTTCCTAATTGCATCTCCTCATTTTAGTACTTTGAGATGCGTTTCGGAGTGGTCGCCAAGACTTTGGCCACAATTACTTTTATCATACAGACGGTAAGTTAGCATCCCTTGCATAATAAAGGGAATTCTCATAGATGGAATCACAGTTGTCGTTTAACCTTAGACCCAAATGCGATTTTGTAAATGCTAGAGTTGGGAGAGCAAACATGCTTCGACATGCTCAGTGGCGAGTGGACTCTGGATGTAGGATTCTGTTCACTTTTTATTCAATGAAACGTTCCTTTTCACATGATCAGAGCGTCCGTCAGGGTGGCGTTAATCACATTCTTAACTGAAACTCTGGCTGGCGAAAGCCCTTTTTAATATTTACGAACAAAGGTCACGATAGGGCTGCCAGTTAGTGGTATTTTATAACTAACCACACCAGACTATATAATTGGCAGTGTAGCATGTCGGGTTTATGCAGAGTAAAATATCTGGCTGCCATTTGTTTGGCTTTGAAGCGGCGTAATCTGGTGCTGAGTTGCTGTTCTGCCTTTTTGTTTGTTCCTAATCTTTCCATCCTCTTTTTTCCTCAACTGCTAGATATTTTACGTAGGTGCCAGTTTGTTTGCTCCCGCCGTCGCCTTGAGTGCAAGTATGTTCCACCGTCTTTTTGTATATTTTTGCCGTCTGTTAAATTCATAATTCCTACTAGAATCCGAGACTACGCTGTGGACGTGTCCGGATTTTATCCGAATGTAGACCAATCCTCAACGAGGTTAAGGTATTTAAAAAGCAGAGAGATGAGATGATACTCGCATAGGACTTCTCTTGTCAATAGTTGTTGTCCCCCTCGCAGTTGACTCACCAGTAAATCCAGGTAAATTTTACAGATGATTCGAGTTTGCGTTAATGAGTGACCCATCGACAATACGTGTCCATGTTTGTGCGCAAACGGTGCCACTGAGAGATCAAAACATAGCTAGGACTAAAGTGTACTGTGTGTAGTAAAAGGCACTAAGGTAAACACAGCAGTGGCAAGTGTTACTGTGATTTTTAGATTTTCCTATGTTCAGAATGAGGCTTTTTTCAAATTTTCTATTATTTTTGCCTTCTGAACCTTAAAACTACTGATAAGATATCAACAATTCACAGCAGCAACTTCACACACAGAGGGTAGTCTCGTAACCATCACACGATGATAATGTTGAATTCGTACATTTATTTTATGTGTGATGATCGACGAAATCCACACTTTCAAAAAAAACCCTTTGCAGACTGCAGGACGAATGGTCGAATGTAAAAAGATAATGTTGACGCAAACAATTCAATTTTGCACACTCGGTATACGTCTATGCTTTCACTTTCAGTGACGGGTGCAAATCTGTTGTTAACAATTCTGGGAACTGGAGCTCTGACAACCTTCTATACCGCAATGGTAAGGGTACTTCTAGTTTGCGGATATACTTCGAGCTGGAGGGATGAAAACTCAATTCTGTAAAACTTGCCTTTGGTTGCTTCGTTTTACGAGACGCGTGTGAAGACACTGCAAACCTTTGTGTCCAGCGTTGTCAAGGGTTACTCATAGCATGACATAAACGGACAAATATTTGGACACACACTTAACGTTCTGACAGTGGGTATTTTATTCGTCCTATTAATATAAATATAAATGGCAATATGAATATATGTAAATATAAATAAATAGCTATAAATAAATGAATAAATTTAAATGAATATATGTCTGTAGTGAGGTCACTGTATTGTACGAATAGGCGTACACACAGTGATGCAAATCATTCTGGGCAATATCATAAAATTATGCCTCTTTAAAATCTGACAACTTTTCGAAATGGTTTAAGCACCCACTAAGGGCAAAGGGTAATAACCCCATCTTGCACAGACGAAAATACATGGTCTAATTAAGAAGACGTGTTAAGTTACTCCATCTATATGCAGTGAATGCGCTATCTTCCGAAATATTCACCTAAATTCCTAAATCCAATTTTAAATAAAACGTACTGCTTATAAATGACTGCAATAGTAATTACCGCACAGATGAACCCCAAAACTTTGTCGGTCACATTACGATACCAGCTTTTGAACGAGCTTTTTCCGGCCGTCTTCAAAAGCTCCACTCCGAAAAATGACTGCTTAGTTGGTATGAATTATTCTGACTAACTTCCGATGTCCTTGTATGTCCTGCATGTGTTATAGAAAACATGCGCAAAACATTCTTCCTGTTATGAATTTAGTATTAAATCATATCCTCTTCAAATTTTTACTTGCATAAACTCTATCTCTCACTTCCTAAGGCCCTGCTAATTATACGGTTTCATAGAACTGTCAAGTGTCCAATCACACAGCATCGTATCTGCGCACTTATCAATGCTGTCTATAAGGTTCACAAAATGGTCCAAATCAATTACGCATTTTTATGAGTCATATTTGACATCAGCCTGATAGCATATAGCAAGGATTGTGTGCGTTTACTATGCCATGATTCAGCAACCTGTGGCCCTCACAGCCTGGTGGGCACTGGCAGTACCATATGGCACCTGATTCTCTGACAGCAGATGAGTTTGCGCTCCCGCTGGGTATACAGGCCGTGTAAATGTTTGCCCAGTGACTTCTGTCATCCTCTCATCTGCCTGACTCGTTTTTGTTGCTGGCTCAAATTCTGGTCAAGTGTTTGTTGAGAACCAAGAGGCGTGATGCTACGCCTAGGCGCGGCTCCGGTCGTGCGAACCATCCGCGTCCTCTCCCGCCTCCGGTCTTCTTGACTCTGTCTTGACACCGGGCTTCGGTGGGAGAGAAGGAGAGAGTGCGGTAGATGCTGCGCAAGTCCACTATCACTATACACTAATCCACGCGCCAGTCATCGTGCCTGCTCTCACCCTGCTGTAGGGCACACGGTGAGCATCGTCAGCAACGACGATCGAACTGTTACTTGCTGTATCGTTTGCACAAACAAGCCCCATCTAACCGCGTAATCAGATATCCAAGAAATACAATCGAGTAATTTACCACGATTGGCTCCCAATCATTGGCATACATGCCTGTGATACACACTAAACGGGAAGTTCACAACGCGTTACAGTGCATCTTGCACGCTCACGATGCCCCAAATGTCGCGGCTGGGAATGTTTTCAAGTGACAGGCTAACTTTGTCACCCATTGAAATGAGTGCCAGACTTTGGTGGGTCCCTGTCCATGTGGTTTCCATTGTCTTCCTACTTGGAAGACAGTTATACCCCTCCTTCGTCACCTTGAGGACTGGTTTGCGTAGAATTTAGGAGGTCCGATGCGACGCGCTCAGACCAGCCGCTGAACAATTCCAGCCCTAGCCTCAGGTCCGGTTTCAGTCTTTTTGACTGTGCGCCGTCACTGGAACACTCGCGGCTTTGGAAAAGAGGGCGAAGTGGATGCAGTCCACTTCCCCTTCCTGTAAACACTTTTACACAGATGTCATAGTGCGCTCTTGCATGGCTCCGTTAACAGCGTGGTTTCCGACTATTAAACTACCGCGCATATCTCTCGTGATCAAATATGCGAGGGTTCAGGTGCAGTGAGCATAAAATATCATTTATATTTTTTTATCTATTTGGTCCAGAAAAAACATTCCTCGTATCTGTAATTTAGGGTGGCATCAAAGCGGTTGTTTGGACGGATGTGATCCAGCTGGTCATTATGATGATCGGCATGATTATGGTCCTCGTCATGGGACTCATTTCTGTCGGTGGACCCGTTACAATGTGGAAAACGGCCCTGATGGATGGAAAGATCGATCAAGTCAGGTATGAGCATTCAATCTTCTATTATTAAGCAGCTTAAGTTTTAAGAAGAAACCAATTTGAAAAGCATGTTTGTATCTGTGCGTCTGCGATGCCTGCTGGAATGCATAAAAGGGTTCAGAACGTTTTCTGAATTGGTTCAGTTAATTTAACAAAACTGAATTTCTTATGCATTATGCTTCAACATCCAAACTAACAGGCCAGTGCGTCTTCTGAATGTGCCAACAAAACAGGGAGGCTTGACAACTGGTGAAGCGGCTGCCTCGGTGATATGGGCATGCAGGATTTGTCCGTTGGCGCTATTGATGGTATTGTACCTCACCAGTCCCTCTTTCCGTGTCAGAAGTTTCGCTTTGGTTTCCTATATCTGATTGGTTCAAACAGTCATTGCTGATAAAAGATCGCCATGTCTGCCGATTAAGCGCAGGACTTTTTCTGTCCTCTGAATCGACTGCAAGGCATTTCAGTGGCTGTTTTATAGTTTCCACCCACTGCTCATCTTAGCCTACTTACCGGCCAGACTCCATGGTAAAATCACCCCTAGAAGACTCACTTGGGCAGATACTCATCAGACACTCCCACAGCGTGGTTACTCCATCGGAGTTGGATCTGTTTCAGCCTCGTGCATCCCGACTGGCTTTAAAGGCCAAATGTCCAGAATCTCACCACCCAATTCGAATATTCCAAGAAGGCAACTTAGATTGAGGTGCATTGGCTTCATTGCATATTTTCGGCAATTAAGTCTCCGTGGCGTGGGAATGTTCGTTAGGACACCAGACGTATGCATCATCAACCGTTGTTGATCAGAGTGACATAATTGTTTCCTTTGACGATTGAGACCTATGTTAAGCGTTTTTGTGATAATGTCCATTTTAACTCTAATAGCATTTTCCAACCGGGCAAATTGACCTACCTTGGCGAGGAAAATCGTATTGGCGGTCCGTGCAAAATTGTTATTCCGAATTTATGCATTTGGAGAAAAAAACGTCTCAGAACTTTTACTAGTTTAACACTCCCCACTTGAATGCTTTATCATCAACAGCTGCCCGAAGCACAATGTCAAACACATACTTTGGTTTCCTGTACACTGATGCTTTTTCTTTGTCTTTAGTTTCAGCCCAGATCCTTTTATTCGGTACACATTTTGGAGCATGACTATTGGTTCTCTGGGCACTTACCTTCCCACCCAGGCCTCTAATCAGGCTCAGGTCCAACGATACCTTTCCTGCAAGAGTCTGAAAACAGCGAAGATGTAAGCGCTTGTTCCGAGTACCACATTTTAATTTTGTTCTTCTGTAGTAAGGATATCAAAACCTGCATGTTACATACAAAACTCCCGATCGATAATCAGACGGGTTCGTGTACATCTTCCGCCAATATAGCGAAAAATATGTGGTTGATAATTTGCAAGAAGAACTCACGATGGAGGGAAGGATGGCGTGATTATTTAGAAAATTATTCCTTTCTATGCACTAGATATTAATGGGTGTAGGTAAGTTGTTAATTTTCGCTGTGTGTGAGAGAGTGTCAACTCCACATGTTATGTGGGACTTAAACGCCCCTACTCGGTCTTCCAGGGAATTTTCAAAACTTGAGTTCCAAATGGCAGGAACTCCTAATTAGAAATGGGGCATTACAGTCCTCCTATAGGCACATTAGTATGAGAAGTTTGCATCACCAATTGCATGGGGTGGATTGATCTAAAGATTTTCCTCTTCGAACGATGCATGTTATGCGCTTAACCGACTTCCATGTTCAAGTGCATGCATGGTTATATTCATATTCACTCGAATGTGCATTTGCTTGATCACGCCCACGCATGATAACCGCATGTACGTTTTATTTATAATTACTAGAGCAATCCTGCTGAACATACCAGTCAACATCATCTTCATTATTCTACATGTTGCCATTGGTCTCGTTTCCTACGTCTACTTCCGTGGATGTGATCCGAAAATGAGTGGCGAACTTCTGCGTTACGACATGCTCTTCCCCTTCCTCACGTTAAAACTTTTTGCAAGCATTCCCGTCCTTCGTGGTCTCTTCCTCTCCGTCATTTTTGCGGCAGCATTCAGGTTGGCTTTTTGACGCCTTAATAACGCTTCTAGTATTGACTTATAAGCTATAAGGGTTAACAACTGTCAAGTATCAAAAAGAAGAACTTAACAATCAGTAGGTTACATAAGGGGAGCGGCAAATTTACTTGAATTTCGTGAGCGAGCAATAACTTGTTACTCGCACGCTTGTCAGTTGGCACCGGAAATATTCAACAGGCGCTGGTCAGCCGAAATATCTAGGTACTGCGAAGAAACTGCTTAGGCTACTTTAAAAAAGGTTGTTTCCATTTATATGAGAACTAACTGCTACAGAAGCCGCGTTCTGTACGAAATAAATGAGTACATCTAAAGAAGAGGAGGCGTTCACCGGGAGAGGTGTATTTGAGGTCTGACGTTTCAGGTAGTCGTTTCTTCTACCCATCTTCAGAGACTGAGCAGTCTTGAACACAGCTTTCCTTTTATGGCCCACTTTGTTTGATGCCTGGCTTTTGCGGTCGAGAAGCTCAGTTACCTGATACGTCAGAATTACGACGAGGGCGATGGCCAGCCCACAGTTCAGGATCTCATAGAGCTCATGGGGCATTGCCTCAAGACATTTTTTACCTTCGAGGGAATCACCTATGAGCAAATTAAGGGCACTCCGATGGGTTCACCAATCTCCGGACTCATTGCCGAGGCCGTTCTGCAAAAACTCGAGAAACGACTGTTCGTGGAGTACAAACCCAAGTTTTGGGCGCGCTACGTTGATGATACCTTCGTAATCATTGATCAGGATAAAATAAGCTACTATGAAGAACTATTGAACCCAATCATCCTCGAGCTACAGTTCACGATGGAAGAAGAAGTGGAGAGCAAACTTTCATTTTGGATGTTCTCATCTGCCGCCAACCAGACGGTAAAATGGCGACGTCAGTCTACAGAAAGCCGACGAACACGCTGCAAATGCTCAGTTACAACAGCAACCACCCACTGCAACACAAACGAAGCTGTGTACGCACGCTAGACCGACGGGTGGAAACTCATTGCAGTACTCCAGTCGCCAAACTGGACGAGATGAAGCTCCTCCAGGAACTCTTCAGAGCCAACGGATATCCGCGAACATTCGTTGAACGGAGCCGAAAGCAACCAAGGAAGCGGAATGAAGATCCTAGTCAGTCAAAATCTTGGTGGAGCATTCCATACATGAAAGGGGTCTCCGAAGCCGTAGCCAGATCCCTCGCGCTGCTCGGAATAGGCGTTGCCCACAGGCCCGACTCAACACTCCGCCGGCAAGTGATGCGGCCAAAAAACCCGATCCCTAAACAGACGTCGGCTGTTGTCTACCGACTTCACTGCAGCTGCGGAATGTGTAACTACGTTGGGGAAACCGGCCGACGGCTGCAAACGCGCAGGCACGAGCATAATTTGGCCGTGCGAAGGTTGGACCCAAAATCGGAGGTGGCAACCCATGCCGCCCAAATGGGACACGTCTTCAACTTTGACGCCGTTGAAATTGTGGGCCGAGGAGATGATCATACGGCAAGGCAGGTGCAAGAAGCCTGGATGTCTACCGACTGTTCTGTCAACCGCCAAATCAATTTGCCTCCCCCTTATCTGGTTTTACGGACATTCTTGACGGGGGACAGTCACGGCGCGGGACAATCGGGGCCGCCAATTATAACCGCGGCCGACGAAGATGGACGGGATTCGGGTCATGGTGACATGCGGGTCGGATGCAGCCACACAGGCGGCATTGATGGGCCAGGCATCAAACAAAGTGCGCCATAAAAGGAAAGCTGTCTGCAAGACTGTTCAGTCTCTGAAGATGGGTAGAAGAAACGACTACCCGAAACGTCAGACCTCAACTTCACCTCTCCCGGTGAACGCCTCCTCTTCTTTTGATATGCCACCCGGGAATCGCATTTTCATTACTATTGAAATGAGTGCATGTTGTAACCTAAAATTCGTGTTTGCGAGAACATATGTTCTTACAAATATGCAAAAATTCGAGACCCATTAGTGACTCTTCGACTAAAAATTCTCGGAAATCTCAGTCTCCCCTCTCAGTTCCAGTGTGCAACATTTTCAATAGTGTGAAACCAATGGAAAAAAACAACGACATACCAGTTCGACAAAACCAATGAAGCTAAATTGCTTATTTCATACCATCTGCTGCCGCCAAAAGTTATTTTCTTTAACTTCTGATAACAGCCTTACCATATCTGCTCTTCACTTTTCATTTGCAGCACGATATCTTCGGGACTTAATAGTCTGGCTGCCGTTGGAATCCAGGATGTCTTTTTGCCCATATACAAGAAGAAAAAGCCGGACAGGGAAATAAAAGCGAAACGTCTGGCCTTAATCTCTCGTCTTGTCGGTATGCACTTGCAGGTTATTCAGATTTTTTCATTTACAAACCTGCGTGACTTATTTGGTTATGTAAACCTGACGTGGGGCCCATACCGTACATGTCAAGGCCTGGTGGCGGTAGTTGGGGTCAGGTCTCACGCGACACGTGCGGGCGGGTTATGTAGCCTTGACGAATAATGTGAGTGACCCATCTCATGAAATGTTGGCTGAAATTCTGAACTGGGTCTTCAATTCGGAAGAATTACATAGGCGCGGTTGTAAGATTGATTTTTTTGCGGCATAATCCTTTACTATTTCGGACTCGATAGGATGTTAGCTATTGAATGCCCTGCTTTTCAATCTCCTGTGGAAACCGTACTTGATAAAAATGACAACTCCAGTAGTATGCATTTTCTCCGTTGATTTTCGACGGTCTTGCAAATTCGAATATATATATTATAAAAACCATGAACAAAAATATGCTTTCTTTTGGTCGTTTGATAGAGAATCACGCCGTCTTTATAGTTTAACGGGTGTACAATTAGGTTTTAAACAAGTTTTCTAATTGCAGAATAATTTGGAGCCTGATCGGTCGTCGCAATAGCGCTTAATGATTTAAGTCTGCAAGGTGTATGCGTTCCGCGTAAAGAAACCTAGATATTATTTTATGCTTTTAAAAAGACATCATATAAAGCCCATAAACGTTTACAACGGATGCGGACTATGTTGGACATTTCCTGAGGATCAGTGATAGACGGAGGGGTGCAATGCTATATGGGTGGACATTGCGCGGTCTTAAAGAATTCCACAATAAGAAACTTTTTTTCAAAATCTAATTATGCTACTTCTTCGAGAATAAAATACACAGAGGACGTGATTTTCTACAAAACGACTGAATCCAAGCATATTTTTGTTCATGGTTTCTATAAGATATACTTGAATTTGCAAGATCATCGAAAATCAGTGGGAAAATGCATGCTACTTGAGTTGTCATTTTTACCGACTACGGTTTCCACTGGAGATTGAAAAGAAGTGGGCAGGATGGTAGTTGGTAGCCATGCCCACTGATTCTACAACTGTACCTACTGGCTCGATTTCGGTATCTGTGATAACGTTCTCATTACGTCTGGGGTGTGCACGTACAGAGGCCCTGTCAGGATGACTTTCTTCTTCACTTTAACCGCCCCGAGAACGAGGCGCTGCAAGACTGTCTATATAGACTCATTGTATTGCCCCCCACACGGAAATCTTTAGTAAAAGGCGAAAGATTTATCCTAAACGGATTATGATTCATCATACTTCCCATTATGCTTCTAGTTGTATGTGCGCACAGTATTACCTGCATCAGATTAATTGCATAGGTACTATCCTAGGCGGATTAGCGCGGGTATCCGTTTCGTCGGTTTGCCTGCATCCTTGGGTCTTTTACTCCAGACCTCCAGTAGAGTCCGGTGCGATCGTGTACAAAAGGACAACAGACGCGCAGTTAGGGTGTCTACCGATACTCCATCTACTGCATCAGTCGTATTGACAGTGTATTGCCCTCCACCCCCCGCCTTTACGAACAGCCCGGTCGTAATTCGTTGCAGGGGTTTGGCCGAAACCTGTGACGCCTTGTAAACACCGCCATGGCCAGTTAGCAATCCTTTCCTGCACTTCCAGTTTAAGGCACTACGGCACCCCCCGGGCGCCTTGACATTGCTGGGTTTGAACTGGGCGCACTTCACCTACCACATCGCGCACTTACTACCTCTTGGGTTCAGACTACAACAGCAAGGCGTCTCATACGTCAGTCAGACCCGAAGTGTTCACCTTCCTCGCACTTTTCACCTTATTTAAATTAGGTTTCCACTTTATCAGGATCGTCAATTCCAGGCATTCCCTACAAGCGCCATTTACGCCTCCACTCATTTGCCCCACCCGTATAGCCCCTATTACCACCGGTCCCGTAAGTAAGGTAGCTGGGAGTTTTCGGTACCGGGAGGGCTACCAACTACCATCTAACCAAGAAGTGTATTCAAAATCTGACATCCGACTACTGCGGATGTCAGCTTCATTATTTTTCTGCTATACTTTGCCTGATATGCAATCCACTATCTCTTTTGCCTCCCCACATTAGCTGTCTTTCTGGGTCTTATAACAACTGGAATCGCTGTAATTCTAATTTACTCGTCACCCAACATACTTCGGATAATTCTCAATATTTTTGGAGCCACTGGAGGTCCAATCTTTCTACTGCATACATTGGGAATATTCTTTCCATTCATTAATAATTGGGTAAGTTGTGTCATTTTTTCATTTGTATATTACAATGCAAAATTATGTAAGATGACGTGCTGATTAAAAATCGTCTAGAGTTTTCCTGCTCTTGAACAACAGGTCATTATTCTTTCAGTCTCTGTAGAAACCGGTAAATCAGTCATATTAAGAGTTAAATGCTGTCGTGGGGTGGATATGCGCTGTAGCCTTACCGCTTAGATAAGACTATCTAAAAAGCATGCATTGCAGGTTTCACCGGTATTAGCGACTTAGCGACTGTTTTGCGGCCGCCTTCTGTTGTTTCGTAAAAGGTACAGAGAAGTTTGAATTCGTTCAGAAGATTGATGTGAAAACTGCAAGGTCATACATCAGGGCTTGCAGTCTAGTCAATGAAGACGTCAACAATAATGAATCAGAAGTTGGATTAAAAAGATGTAAATATGCAATTGGACGTACAATTTAAGAGACCACGGACCAACATTGTAAGGTCCTCTATTCGCCGTAAGTGAGCCTTCCTCAATGGACCAGGTGCCTACCCTATCCATGAGCAAGTAGAGGATTTAATTGCTGAACCTCCTCAAGACTGCTCACATGCAGAAGGAAGGCTGGGCTCGGAAGGCCGAGCTTAAAGTTTATCCGGGACGTTTTTTCATATCAGTAATCCATCCTCAAAATTGTGCGATACTTTTCGCCAGAAGAAATTCTCCATGACGAGAGACACATACCAAGATTATTCAGGACAAAACGCGAGTGACATTGAGATCCTGACTGCGTTTTCAAGCGTCCCTAGGACGATCAGTAATCTACGTTTTCCTGAAATCTAAAGTCCAGATTGTTAAAATTGGAGACATTTTATTAACTGAATTTATCTCAGGGTGACTTCTCCCAATAAGGTGTCAACGGAGCTTTGTATGAACAAGATTACATCCGATAACATTAATAAATATCTCCAGAACTGAGCACTTTGACTTTTCCATTAGGCTTCTGCTTATGCAATATAAGAAAAAAGATTGATTCCTGGTTTTCCATGAAGGGTCTTGGCGAAGTACCTGACTACCATCAGGAATTAAAAGGCACAAAAACATTTTTGAACGGACCATTTTAAAATACGTCAACTACATTGCAAAGCAAACATCAGAGAGCAGAAAGTGGGAATTTACGGCTTGTCAACAATCCTCCGTCAGTCAAACCTCAGAATCGGATAGCGGACAAGCGAGGACATGATTCAGGACTCTGTCACATAGCCCCGGGTCATTGTTCTATGCGTTGTTGGAAATAATAGTAGATCAATTATGCTGCGACTTCCAGGACTCGTGACTCGAAATTGACCTGTACCCTGCGTTGTCTACCCGCGAGATCATTAGAATGGGTCTGAAGGTCTACTTTTTCCTCGATCCCGGAATTCTAGAACATAAGTTTGAAAGTGGTAGTTACTTATACTGATACTCATATATGCAAAGTCGATATTATTTTCCAGGAATTTTGCGTGTCTGAAACAAAAGCAAAAGACGGGACATGTTTCAAAGCAAACAGGATTCGTACGCTGAATTAGAGCTAGCTGCACAAAATGCTATGACACGACTGAAGTGGACTAATACTTCTGAACAACCGTAAGGCTGCGTGGCTGCATCCGTGCTTCTTTTCCAAATACTTTCGCTAAGAAGGCTAATAATAGCGCTCCAGCAACATTGAAATGGATAGTAGTTTAATTTCAAATTTTGTACTACAAACCAAAATGGATAAACTGTATAGGCAACTGGTACGGAAAGACTGCATAAATACCCATTCTATTTTGCAGGGTGCAACTGTAGGATTTATCGTCAGCGTGGTCGGCACATTTTGGGTGTCGATCGGGGGCATTTTCAGAAACACCATAGCTGATGTACCCGGCCGCCCCCCCTCAACGGAGGCTTGTCCTGCTCCTGGCACCACAACATTAATGCCCAATGTGACGTACCCTGCACCTGCCCCCCACTCCCAACTATTGGACCGCGGATTTAGTTTCTATGACCTCTCCTTCCTCTGGCTGGCAGCTTTTGCCATGCTGATTGGATTCGTGGTCGCCAGCATTGTCAGCCTTGCTTCAGGTATGAACTCATCCAGACTGTAGTCAGCACTGATTAGAATATGTTTAATTGGTGTTTCCTTCCCATCCGTCGATCTTACGTCGGGTGAGATTTATCACTGTCTTCTCTGGAATGCAATACGCCCCACAAATTCGATAAGCTGTCTGCACCTACCGTATGCGGAAATCACTACCTGTACTCGCTGAAATCGTGAAAAGTGAGCTCCCATGATTTATAAAAAAATTGAGAGACAGTTTCCTGTCGCTCTCCTGCCAGACAAACTTGCGTTCGTTCAGTTCTAAGAGTATCGTGCGGTAGGTACGCTGCTTGAATTCTTCCCATGACGACCAAATCATGTGACGCATGAGAACCGCTTGCATATATTTTATTCGGAATTGCAAATGCGACTTCTCATTTGATAAAAATGGGATTGCAACAGATTACACAATTTGAATTTACCTATTTCATCTAACTGCTATTGAATCCGTCCTTTGTTCTCATTTAGTGAGAGTTTTGCATACTTTTGATGATTTAAATCCAAGTAAACTATTTTTTAAAGGCATGAACACCAAAAAACCAATTCGGCAGTCTCTTCTGGCCTCCCAAGCAGTTTCCTTCTACAACTGCTTTCCAAACTGTCATCCAGCTCAATCCTATGACGACAGTGAATCTCAAGTAAGTTCCATTTCCTTTTGATTTCTGAGTGGAGGTGAATGCTCCGGTTGCAGATGTATGTCTGTGTAAGAAAGAGAATGACTAATCGAGCACTGGATCAACATAATATATTATTCTAAACTTCCAAACTCGTACAGGTGTCAGAGCTGACAGCGGCAACACAACAAGCGTCCTCTGTGGAGGTATTAGCCAGCCAGTGATTATTGACTCAGGTCTGCAGATGACTGCCCGTTGCTCGCACGCCGACGTCAGATTGGTACATCGATTGACCGAGTTCTTATCCAGGAGGCCCGAACATCCAGCACTTGTTAGCTGACATTGCTTCTGGCGTAGGCGACTATCTTAGCGCTTCGGAATTGATCGCGTGCTTAACTTCTCTCCCATCGAGATAATCACCCAGACGGCGATATAAGCAAGCCGAAAAGTAATTAAGGTCCGGGCCTCTCAAGGTAAAATGCAGTCATTCTATATATTGATTGCCGGCATTCCGAGTCCAAAGCAGTCACCTACAGACCTGTGTCACTGATCGTTGATTGGGTGATACCCCCAATGACTATCGCTTGTTTTGTAGCTGCTATCATTTTTGGCGATGAACTCTTGCATGAGCTTCATATCTGAGAAAAATAGACAAATTATTCCAGTGTTCGCCTAGTCTTCTTCGTTCTTGCTCATGCTCAATATATTTTTAGATTACTGTCTGGTCGGCACTGGCTGAGAAATCAGATATTTTACCGATAATTTGAGCATACTAACAGTAACAGTTATGAACCGGCATAAAACGTAAATAAAATAAGCCCCACTGTTCAAAATCCCAAAAAGGACTGGACAATTTCTGTGGAGGTGAACTTGTAAACATTTCTCTTAAGAAGCACATTATGTATATATCTAATTATAGGGCGAAGATGAAGATGATACCTGGAAGTCGTATATGGAGGGAGACAATGCGACCGACAAACAAAGCGACCATCACGACAATCATTCTGTTGTCATATACTAAATGGAAATGCCTTCAGATTAGTTTTAAGGTAAGCTTTCGTCTGCAGGCGCACTTGAGGATTATTATACTATTGACCTACTGAATTATTTTGAGTAGGCGTGATTATATTGGAATTATATACTTTGTAAAGGCACTATTTGTATATGCGCTATATCCACTTACTAGGTACGTCAAAGTCAAAGTACCGACCTAGTGCTCAATGCACTTGCACCCCCACCCATTCTGCTTGTCCTATCCTTTCCTAATCCAGTTAGTGGCTAGTCTAGGTACGTCAAAGGTACAGGCGAAAAGTCGTTGACGTTCTCAAGAAAAGTTCCCTATTACAGTAGCCAAATTAAATGGCGTGCAGGTGCGCAGCCTTGTTTATGGGTTACAATTGTATTCTGCTTTGCCTATTCTTTTCAATGTGTCAGTCTTCCGCCTGTTATTTGTCTGTGTTTTCATTGCCATTCTTACAGAGCAACTTACAGTGGTTCGTCATTTGCTTTATCCGTTTCCTTGACTGCCTCCGGATCCCTTCCCTTACCTTCCATCATTTTTCTTCACACCATGCGGAACGGCCTTGGCCACGCGTTGCCAATTTCTATTGGTTGTTTATCTTCCTTTTGCATTTTCGCATTCCGTGAGAAAATATCGGCTTACTCTGCCAACTGTTCCACATACACTATCACATTTTTATCATTTGCACTCGGGTTTCACCTCTCCCAACTTTCCCCGGTCATCTAGAAATGTCCTCGTCTATCTTACCATGTTGCTGCCTTCCGTCTGGCGTTTCCAGATGCTCCACCCCTTAAATTCCTAGTACCACCATTCCCGTATTACAGTCAGTCGGAATTTATCCATTTCCAGTGCGACTGCAGGACCAAATCCGACCAGATTTTTATATTTAAATAGAATATAAAACTTCCCGTTTTGCTCAAACTTTCTGATATTCTGACAATCAAATAGAAAGCCTGGATTATTCGGATTCTCAGTGAGATGGGCTACATACTCACAATATTTTTAAAAATATTCCGGCAAGCATTCCTTTGCACCTTGTATGTTTCACGATGCGGTAGTTGCGTTTGCAGTCAACGGATTTTTGCCTATGAAACTTGAAGCGGATAACGGAAAGCGTACCTCCTTTAAACGTTGTTAACACCAGTCGGGCCGGATAAATAACAGCGTATCCTACGCGAGACAATGGTGACATTACCATTAAGCCAGTTTTCTGTGGGCGCGCTTTCTTCGAATTAATTGGCACTTCGACCGTCGTGTCCGACGATGACCACCATGCTTGCTCCACAGCAAGCTGGAGCAAGCATGGTGACTGGCGGGTGAATTAGTTCAGAATGAGGGTAGACTTGCGCAGAATCTACCTCACTTCCTCATGCCCACTGCCCGCCTGAACCCGGTGTCAAGACAGAGACAAGAAGACCGGGGGTGGAGGGAGGGCGCGCAGGTGACACAAACATCCACAAATGGGCGCACTGCGTGAGCCGGATCGAGGCGTCAATCGGCAGCCCTTAAAGGCACGCCACTTGGCGTACCGTGATAGTCTCAGACTCGGGTTACACATGCAACATAGGGGCCGCATGGAGAAAGAGCCGCAAGGTACACTTCCCACCAGCGTGGGAGGTGGCAGTTGAGCCCTTGCGTTGTCTGGTGATTAACAATATTGTTGTGTGGTACAGGTGAGAGAAGGATTGATGACTTGCTGTAGCCGGTGGTTGTCTAACACGGGTTATTTCAATTAGCATGTGACCTAAGTGGCCCATCATCACCATCATCAGTAAATGCCAAGCGAAAAAGAGTCATGAGAATCAAGGATCAACTGGAAACGGGTAAAAAATCCACAGCTTATTAGATCCTATGCGTCCAAATCTACTGACAAAGAAAACTACGTCCACCAACACAAAGACTGGTAGAGAGCTATTCGAGGTCTGGATCCACGACGTCTTATTCATAGACCAGCACAAAGATAGGCAATATCTCATTTCATTCGTTAAAATCTCCTCTACATTAAGAGATTAGGTCGGCTAACACGATGCAAAAAATGAAGAATGCTACCTACTCTTAATCGTTCTTGCAGGTCATCAGAAATGGGCCAGTGAATAGGCTCTCAAGATTGGGTCAGTATAGTCCCCACGTGGAAGATCGGAGAGCAGTTACATGCAGTTTAAAACAAGTTTGTAATAAGGACTTTCCTAAAGCAGGTTGGATAACATTTTACTACTTGATTATTTATGATGTCTGTTTAAAGTAGGTTTTATAATTTTTTAAGAGGCACACTTTCTAAAAGGTCAATTCTAACTGCAGATTCATGTCGCCAATTACGAAAATGACTTTATGATCGCCTCACATCCATAATTTCCGATTGTCTTAAAAACCGTCAGAAAGGCGGATTTTCTCACTAACTGTAGAAAAACTCCAAAAGCCTGTGACTGCTGAAATATTCTTCTCTCTTCTGATTTTGCATTCACAAATATGAGAGTATTCACAGCGTAGATTTGATTCATTTCTCCAGTTCTCATTTCTAGGAAGCCGCTGCCAAAGACAAAGCCAGTCTATGAAACTTGTTTTTTAGAACAATGACTATCCCAAATAAAATTAAAAGGGACGGCTGGCGTGACTATGTCCCCAAACCGGAAAAGAGTCTAACAAATATTACCTGCAGTCCGCCTGCCATCAATATAAATGTTAAAAATAGTCTTGCTGGGTCAGGTGATATGAACTGGCAACACGTTATAAATGATGGTTAGACAGTCATAGGAGAACAAGAAATCATCATCCTTATTAGAACCATGAAGAAGTCGTCGACAGTATCTCTGGGATAAAGCAGCAAAGGTGATTACGGCAGCATCTTTGTGGACATGACACGAAGTGAAATGTCCACAAGTTCAGCTATTATCGGCGGTAAAATCACTTCTTCTCTTCCAACGGATAGGTTTTTGTTTAACAAATGAGACAGTAGCCACAAGGCGTCCTTTTCTGTCCAAGCACTCGACACAATATCGTCTGCGCCTTGGTAGCCGTACATGAGGAGGTCGCTAGATAGAAACCGACAAAAGAGAGGTTTGACTGTTCTTGCCTGTTACGTTAAGCCGACACATATTCTCACTCCCTCAACATCGGTTGTTGTGATGCATTTGACTTCCTTATGCTAAGTTTCACATGAAATCACATGACATTTGCGCGTAAAAACCGGAAAAATGCGATCATATCTGCCGAAATTGGCCTGTTAATTAAACTTCCTGCGTGTACGGGTCTAGGTTATAAAGTCTCCCCCATACGGTCCATATGTGGGGCAAATCTCCAGTTCAGACCTGATGATGATGACGATGCTGAGGATGATGATGATGATGATGATGATGATGATGATGATGATGATGATGATGATGATGATGATGATGATGATGATGATGATGATGATGATGATGATGATGATGATGATGATGATGATGATGATGATGATGATGATGATGATGATGATGATGATGATGATGATGATGATGATGATGATGATGATGATGATGATGATGATGATGATGATGATGATGATGATAAAAGAGTGGTCTTAGTGCGTCTGCAGCCTGCGTTCTGCGTATTTCTAACATTTACGGCTTCCTTCACTATCTCCTGTGTTATTTTCACTTCACAGCGTTTGTTTTTGATTGTCCGACTGGGTGACTTCTTGCTTTTTCCTATCCTTCCGGAAATTTCATATGTAGACTTCCGAACAGTGAAGGCCGATGCTATTCTTCAATACTAACCTGCCTGCATAATGTGGATTATTGCGCAACTGAATGCTGCATTTGACAAGTATCACCCTCAATCACCCGGATGACTTGGGCGTCATTGGCCAATCAGAAACAAACAGCAGACCAAGGAATCAAGGGGGCTCGAGTCTGTGGTCTTCTATCACCAGTCCTCAATTAATGTCGACTAAATTTGGCAAATAAGTCGCAAATGCGCACAACGGTTTCTTAGTCTATTTTAAGAACAGTATTCGAATCCTTACTGTTGGGAGAGTTCGTGAGACAAAGGCGTCCTGTTAGGTGCTCACTGACAGGGCTCCCTTTGAGGAACAGGGCTTTCTTTTCGGCAATCAGTATTCTGGGTTTTTCTGACCACACACAACATTTTTTGCGATAAACGCGTCCGGATACCAGTTCTCACGATGCAAGTCTTGGATCTTTCTAAGCTCCTCAAAAATGCAATCTACAGAACACACTTTTCCGGCCCTTTAAACCGAATGCCGGACTATATTTCATTTATTTTGGAGGGACACGAAACCACTGAAGCTCATGTATCGTGCAGACCTCGTTTTCGTCCGATAGACCTTCCTGCTGACGCTACCGTTAGGTCTCCTCTTTAAAAGGACATCCAGGGAAGGGAGCGAACCAGACGTTTCATCTCTAACCTGAACTTGATCATCGGTTGTGCCTGATTTATAGCATTTAAGAGGGGCCCTAGGTCGGATGAAGACAGAAGCCTCGATCATATACTCCCATAGAAGGTTAATTAGTTTCAGCCTATCTGCTCGTAGCGAGGGACTTTCCAGTAGAACTTCCTTTACAGGTTGATTTGGGTTTACTAAATTTGTAGGCAGAGAATTAAACTGACAGTCGGGAAGAAGGAAACAGGATCGTTGGAATAAGATCTCTATGCCCCTGACCATTTTTATTCCTGCTCGAACCCGTCATCAGAGACAATAGCAGATACGGATAGTTCATGCACAAGGGGCTGCGGCATTTATAGGATGCAGTCACTATGCTACCACATATCTAGGAAAATTCATTGTTCCCCATTTTATCAAGGAATGTTGCACTCGGTGTGATGACTGTTCTATGGCCAACGTTCGAGTCGTTAATCTCTGCAATTGCGTCACGAGTGTCGGATATTGATATGATGTTTGCTCGACTATCTGACCAACCGACCCTGGCCAATACGCCTGATGAAATTGCAGAGATTAACTACTCGAACGGTGGCCATCACATCGAGTGCAACGTTACCTTCTGAAAGGTGAGCCTTGAATTTTCCTAATAATAACACCATTAAATTTTTAAGGACGGAAAGCCGAGTTTCCTGTCTCTCTGTGAACTAACTGACTGCTGAAATGCAGACGGTGAGCAGGCAAATTCCACTTACAACAAAGCAAAGACAACAAAGCAATATTCACCTTACCTGGGGGCCACTTAACTTGTGGTCTCCGGCGGGGTTGCAGACGGAGCCTCATCTCGGGCATGCCGAGATGGTGACCCATCCGGCCAGTTGTAGTGGTACCGGAGCCGAGTTACCGTGTGTGAAGATGCATACACGGATACCCTCACCTGGTTTAGTGGGCCGGTTACCAGGGTGTGGCCGCAAGGCAGAACCTGGACTTAGGGAGCCACATGTGAGTGTTGGGTGCCAGTTAATGGGCGTTAGGCGTAGTCTGCACTTAGAAGCAAGTGAGCGACCTACTAGGGCCATAACGTGAACTCACAACTGCACACACATAGACCCAAAACCCCACAAATTGGGTGGAGGGCAGGGACGTGACATAAAACGACAGCATGGTGTCCTTTTGCGGGAGACTTATCTCATGAGACGCAGAACTAACTATACTCCTGTAAAAGCAAAGAGGTGAGCTACATTAAGCATCTGAGGAAACGATGATGCGATCGCTGGGACATGAGGGTTATTCGCCTGAAGCTTCTGATTCTTACTTGGACCCATGATCAGAGGCAGCCGCAGATAATTGTGGTAGACGCATATGAAGTGCAGTGTTCACAGGACGCATTCCTCACACAGTCACGTGTGTAACATAATTAACAGCCCTCGAGTTCACCGCTGGTGGTCGCATTTAGTGCGATGATCGATCGTAAACCCGCGTTCGAGTCGTTAATTGCTGTAATCTCATCACGACTGTTGATTCGTGGCTTGATAATTATTCTGCAACCCCATAAAACGCTGACACGCGAAATTGATGCTACGCTGTTTTCCTTGGTGAGGCCGGTTCCAACGCCCCCGATGGGCCTACGCGTGGCGAGAGCGCTTGAAAAGTACTTTGCTAAAATCTATGGTCTCCCAGAAATGCACGAAGGGCGCATTCCTCTGCGGCCCATCATATCACTCAAGGGTGCTTCAAATTACAAGCAGGCAAAGTGACTGTTTTGGCGTCTCAAATTTCTTACCACTGATTCAGACTGTATGGTCTGTTTGTCAACAGAATTCTTGGAAACTGACAAACTGCGCATTGGTGTCTCTTGATGTCGTGTCACGTTGTAATTCTTTTCCCCAGGATTTGGCAGTCTTACTCATCGAACTACTCCTATAAAGCAGATACAATGAGATAGAGAATTGCCTCGGACACGCTTAAGACCTTCAGCTCACGAAGCTCTCTAAAGAAAGCAATCATGTGGTGAATGAGACAACTGCTGTTAGTAGGCAAATAATGGCTTCCGATGAAAAAAAAAGAATAAGAAGAAGACGACACTTTACACCACGGGGAAAATTCGCCAGAATACGAAAGAGAGTATATCGGCCTTGCCCAAAAAGCATTTTAAAAACGAAACGACTGTAAATGTGCCAGCAGAAGAAGTGGAAGGACTGGAGCAGTTGACGCCCAATCGTAGAAACCCCCAGACAGTGGGCTCATATCCGGAGCCTAACTTAGAGGGCTTATCAATTAGCGCAATGACATATGGTTATGGACCCACGGTGGAATTAGCTGCCACCGCGAATTCCCATGTCAACAGAGTTGAGAACCGAGCCGAGGAAGCCTCTAATTCATGGGGGTCAAGCTCTTTTCAGAGCCCTCTGATGGGAGGCAATGCCGATCAACCACATTGTGTAACTATTCACGATGCCCCAGCAAGATTCGCGGACGAACTTCACGGGGACATAAATACCAAGATGACAGCCCCCTCCTTTTCGCCAGTCCACTTCGACGAGGGCAAAGGACCGGTCAACGACGTCCAAACCGCAGAACACAGAGGAATGCTTAACAAGAATCACTGCATCACAATTCTGGGCCTCCCGGAGTCCTCCTCTAGTACTCCCAGGGAACGAGTCGCTGCTGACTTAGAGCAATTCCAGAAACTCCTAAATGAAATGCTGCAACCAACAGAATATGTCACAGTCCTAAAGGCGTTTCGTCTTGGTAGCCGTACAACCACCGCTCTACAGCCACGACCAAGACCCCTGAAAATTGCCCTTGGTAGCAATGGGCAGGCAAAACTAATCCTTTCCAAACGTTTTCGATTGAAACATTCCCATAAATGAGAGTTTTTTCAGCCGGACTACTCAATTGCCGAGAGAATGAAGTGCCGCGAACTTGTCCTAGAATTGAGAACACGACAAACCAACGGAGAAAAAGACTTGACAATCTACAACGACCGGATAGTCAAACGACATTCCGCCCCCGCTCTGGATCAAGCCGATCCGAATGACCGCACAGATACCACGGTAGCCTGTGTCGGGGTTGATAAAAAATCGCGCATGAACTCGAAACTCATATTCGTGTATGCCAACGCGCAAAGTGTACTTTCTAAACTGGATGAACTTCGTATCCTTACCCATGACCTCTACCCAGACGTTACCTCAATAACAGAAACATGGCTGTCCGAACAGATTGATGATAGAGAACTCATGCTCCCTGGATTTCAACTGTTCCGCAGAGACAGACAAAACAGGAGGGGTGGAGGCATAGTAGCATTTGTTAAGAACGGCTTATACGTTTCAGAAAAAACTGCCCAATTGACTTGTAGTACGGAAGCGTTGTGGCTGACCATAAGGGCACCGGGCTCTCGAAGCCTCGATATCTTGACAGTATATTTCCCCCGAGAAATGACCTTGACGCTGGTGCCCAACTGCTGGAGGAGCTTAGGCTATTTCAACGCGACCGACTACTCTCATCGTTGGAGATTTTAATGCACCTCACATAAACTGGAGCTCGACCTCAGCCGACTGCTCTGAAGCAGCATTCGACCAGCAGTTACTGCGTACCTCCGACAATCTGCTTCTTACCCAGCACGTAATGTTTCCAGCGAGAGTTCGAGAGGGCCAGCAAATGAATTGCCTTGATCTAGTGCTCACCAAGTCCTTTGACAATATCGACGTTGTGAATTGCCTCCCCCCGTTGGGTCAGAGTGACCATGTAGTTCTCATGTGGGAATACACCTTATTCTCCCTGCCTGCACAAACGCTCGATTCCCGACCCAATATTTGGCGCGGAGATTTCGAACAGATGAGAAGGGATCTTAGTCCTATCGACTGGGCATCTAATCTATCCGGCGATGTCGAAGAGGTTTGGTGTCAGTTCAAAGAGTTAGTCCACAACTTCGTCTCCGACCATTGCCCAGCCATGCGCAGAAGACTAACAAAGAGACCCCGCTGGCTGACTGCGTCCTTAAAGAAGGAAGTTAACAAGAAGAGGAAGCTGTGAAAAAGATCACTGACTGACCGGACGTCAGAATCCCTTAGCAGTTACAGAGAAATCGGCTCAAAATTCTCATCGCCAGAGATCGGAAAGCCTTTGAAAAGGATCTTCTGAACCGTGCCAGGGTTAATCCCAAAGTCCTCTACAGCTACATAAGACAGAGCACGCGGAACAAAGACCCCATCCCACTGCTGCGAACAGCCGAGGGAATGGAAATCTCAGATGACAAGGATAAGGCTGAACACCTCTCTTAGTTCTTCCGGTCCGTCGTGACAAGAGAACCTGATTTTTTCTCCCCCATTTGTGAAAACGAAGAAACGCCTACCCTTGAAGCCGTATTCTTCACA